AGAAAGAAAGAAAGAAAGAAAGAAAGAAAGAAAGAAAGAAAGAAAGAGAGAGGGAAGAAGAGTGGGTGAGAAGGAAGGAAAGAAAGAAAGAGGGAGGGAGGAAGAAAGGAAGGAAGGAAGGAAAAGAAAGGAAGGAAGAAAGAAAAAAGAAAGAGGGAGGGAGGGAAGAAGGGAAGAGAAAGAGTAAGAAAGGAAGGGAAAGAAAGAAAGAAAATGAAAGAAGGGGAGAGAGGGAGAGGGTGGGAAGGAAGGAAGGAAGGGGAGGGAGGGAGGGAGGGAGGAAGACAGGCTATTTTTTTCTCATTCACATGAAGCACCAAGCTATTTCTTTCCCTGTTCTGGAGAGGGGAATTTAGAAGCAACAAAAGAAAATGGAAATCTTATCATTTTACTTTATTGCTGATTAATAATAAGTATGCATGACCAGGCCCTCTTATCTTTCCCTGGTAGCAGATGATAATGATAATGATCATAATTAGGGCACTGCGTAAAGAGGTTTTTCAGAGCTATTAATATTTCAGGGAAATCTAGGTCCTTCCTCCCCTGAATACCACAGAAGGCTTTTCATGCATCCTGCTGAAGGTAAAAGGGCTGGAATTGGAGCCATGCTTGGGTGCTGCACACATATCGTACTAGTACTAGACTTATATTATATACCACTTCACGGTGCTTTACTGCCCTCTCTAAGCCCAGAGTCAGCCTATTGCTCCCCCCCCAACAATCTGGGTCCTAATTTTACCGACCTCAGAAGGATGGAAGGCTGAGTCAACCTTGAGCCAGTCAGGATTGAACTGCTGACGATCGGCAGAGTCATCCTGCAATATGGCATTCTAACCCCTAAATGCCCCCCTGAATAGAAAGGGAGGTCTCCCTCCATTCAATGAATGCCAGATTCTTCACACACAGGGCAGCCTCTGATCATGCACAGACTTCCAATGGGAGAGCAAGACAGTTGAGTCAAGGCGCAGATAGATTTATAGATGAGGGCCATCATTTGGCCACTTCCTCCCCCATTTCATTTATTAACTTATTCATAAAATTCACTGGCTACCCGTCTTGCCCTAAGGTGACTCTGGGGCTGCTTACAGACATTAACAAAATACACCTACATTAAAACATGAATGAATTAAAACCAGAGATTAAAATCAAAGGACATGTGGGGGGAGTGAGGAAGGAACAAGAAGGGAGATGGGATATGGTATTACTCAATCAACCACCTCCATGGCGCTGTTCCCACAGTGTGGTGGACTGGCAGAGCCACATCTTTAGTCCCGTACAAAAAGATAAGAAATGAAGATGGAAGTCGAGTCAGAAAGCTCCACCCTCCCAACTGACATGAAGATGAAAGAGAGAGGAAGGGGGATTACATTCAGACTTGCAAGATTCTGTTACTAGAGCTGTTCTAATTAAAGTAACTTTAGCTCTACGTGGTGTCTGTTTCTTGGTCTGGACTACATTTTAAGGCTAATACCAGGCCTCCTTTGAAGCTTTTCAGGGACAGTAATGGCTTCATGGACAACTGTTTGCAAAGTCGCTTCTGTTTCTAAAATGCCAAACAACTAGAGTTATAGAATATATAGAATAACAGAGTTGGGAGGGACCTTGGAGGTCTTCTAGTCCAACCCCTTGCTTAGGCAGGAAACCCTATACCATTGCAGACAAATATTTATTCAATCTCTTCTTAACAACTTCCAGTGTAGGAGCATTTACAACTTCTGGAGGCAATTTGTTCCACCGTTAATTGTTCTGTCAGGAAATGTTTCCTTGATTTTAGGTTGCTTCTCTCCTGGATTAGTTTCCACCCACTGCTTCTTGTCCTGCCTTCAGGTGCTTTGGAGAATAGCTTGACTCCCTCTTCTTTGGGGCAGCCCCTGAGATACAGGAACACTGCTATCATGTCTCCCCTAGGCCTTCTTTTCATTAAACTAGACATACCCAGTTCCTGCAACCGTTCTTCGTATGCTTTAGCCACGTTCTGTGAATTTACTTCAGGTGAATTTACAATAGGAACGAACATGCCAGTGTCATTTCTGTGTTTCCCATATAAAAAGCATTACCTGGAAGTCTGCCGTGACGGATCCTCCACAGATATCAATTAACTCTGTCATGTCATAGTATGCGTCAAATGTCCAAATGCAGCTCTTCAGGTTCAAATGTTTGTAAAACTGGATAGTCTTGGGTTCTCTCACATTGGGGTCAAACTGGTACGGCCGGTCATATCCGGGGCCCAGAACGATATTATTATAGGTCACTTCATCTAGAAATCCAGCTTCTGGGTTGAAAGTAAAGAAATACAGAGCAAAATTTCAGTAATATTTTAGCCACGTCGAACCTAGAATTACTGGGATATATATAACAGAATTGGAAGGGACCTTGAAGGTCATCTAGTCCAAGCCCCTGATCAAGCAGGAGATCTTATGCCATTTCAGACAAACAGCTGTCAAATCTCTTCTTAAAAACCTCCAGTGTTGGGATACCCACAAGTTCTGGAGGCAAGTTGTTCCATTGATTAATTGTCAGGAAATTTCTCCTAAGTTGTTTCTGTCCTTGCTTAGTTCCCATCCATTGCTTCTTTCCTGCCTTCACATGCTTTGGGGAATAGGCTGACCACCTCTTCTTTGTACCAATCCCTTAGTTATTGTAACACTTCTATCGTCACCCCTAGTCCTTATTTTCACTAGACTAGACACACATATGTTTTTTAGCCTCCAGTACCCTAATTATCTTGGTTGCTCTTCTCTGCACTCTTTCTAGAGTCTCAACATCTTTTTTATATTATGGTGACCAAAATTGGATGCGCTATTCCAAGTCTGGTTTTACTAAAGCATTAAAGTGATGGCAACAGCAGAGTAACAAAATATTCAGGATTTTGACAGGCCTGTGACAAATAAATAAGTGAGCTGTTGTTTCCAGATTCATATCTAAACTGATCATTGGACACACAGAATATTGTTTAGAGCATCTAATTTTAGAGACCATCGCAGCTGTTGATTGACTAACTGCTATCTCTCTTTCATTGCTCTCGGGGTAGTGCTACCAAGCTCCAAGTAATTAGAAAGTCTGCCTTACAGTCATTTAACAATGGCAGGTAGACAAGAAAGAACACTGCAGGGTTTTTAAAAAAAATAAAATAAAAATAAAAAGGCACTCAAATGTGCTCATTTCTTTGAAAGCAGGGCAGAAAGAAATGTTAAAGAGAAGAGAAAGCTAAACTGACTGACATACCCAACCAAGTAAGAAGGTTTTAAGTTATTTTTTTTTAAAGAAATATTCTTTGTGATGCCTCTAGAGGTTTGTCTCATCTTTTTTCCTGATGTGATCCTCATCTTTTAACAGCTACAACATGACTGGTAGCTAAAACATGGTCCTGCCTCAGCTGCAAATACAGATCCACCATTCTGTTGGTGCCAATTAGGCGGCTACGTTTTCCTGGAATCTGGTGGCTGGGATTTCCTTTCTTTTGCTATTTTGAGAACTTACTCAAATCCACAAATGTCTTCATAAGAAAACATGGAAAAGAACTTGGGATGAAAATACAAAAGTGGGGGGAAAAAACCTAAGAAATTCAAGTATGATCATCAGCTATTATTTATAGATGGAGAACAGCTTTAGATTATTATAAGATTAACAGATTTGGAAGGAACCTTGTAGTTCATCTAGTCCAGTGGTGGCTAACCTTTTTGGGCTCTTGTGCCAAAAATTGTGCATGCGCTGGTGCGCGCGCGCTTGTGCCAGCACCCAGAAGGCAATGCGCACTCCCCCATGCGCCCTGCACATGCGTGCGCAATCCCTCCCCGCCGCTTCAAAAAAGCCTCTGTAGGATATGCAGGACGAATAATAGGCCCGTTTTGTCACTTCCGGTATTACAGGAAGTGACAAAACGGGCCTATTATTCACCCTGCAAAGGCTGCAGAGGCTTTTTTCAAGCCTCTGGGAGGCCGAAAAAGGCCTCAAACCAGCTGTGAGGTGCATGCATGCACAGTGAGGTAAGTTTGCCTGCGGCTCGTGTGCCAGTACAAATGGCTCTGTGTGCCACCTGTGGCACGGGTGCCATAGGTTCGCCATCACAGATCTAGTCCAACCCCCCCAGACCAAGCAGGAGACCCTACACCATTTCTGACAGGTGGCAGTCCAATGTCTTCTTTAAAGCTTCCAGTGATGAAGCTCCCACAACTTCCAAAGGCAATTTCTGTTCCATTGGTTGATTGTTCTCACTGTCAGAAAAAATTATCTTTATTTCAAGGTTGAATGTCTCCTTGATCAGTTTCCTTCCATTATTCCTTATCGGCCTCAGGTGCCTTGGAAAATAGCTTGTGCTGACAGATAGGAGGGCTCTGGTTTTGTAAAAGAAACATCAAAAAAGCTCCAGGGTGGTGCCATCATATCAGCATTATGCCTCCTGGGCTGATTTTTGTTTGGTTCTAAAGGGTACATTCCCAGTTGAGGGTGTTCTCACCTGATGGCTACAAAAAAACAATCCAGATAAATGTCTTCATTTCCATCTATCTCTGACAGCAACATGCATGGCAACCTCTAAAGGAGAATATTTGTAGCTTAGGGTTGAAATGAGGGGTCCTCGGGGCTCTCTGAGCGTGGCAATTTTCTTGCAGATGTTATTGTCAACTCTCCAACTAGCGAACCCAAAACAAGGAAGCCCTCGAGAGAGAGAATTGAATTCCCAAAAGTAAAATATTATTGGATACACCATGCTGGTATTGAAGAAACAAAATCAAGTCTGCTTTTCCCATGCAAATTCTTGCCTAGTTAAAACATAGCTTCCTCTTCTCCCTACTCCAGGGTGATCACACTGTCCAATTATGAGACACCTGTTTGTTATGGGAACAGTCCATCTCTTTCTCAAGCACCTGCAGTGGTGACCTTGATGGTTTCCATGCTCTTATGATCTCCCCATTACATTTCTCCCATCCCTTCCCCCCAGTTCATGGGCAAACCAGGTAACATCATCAATGCTAGAAGGGAGTGGGGTTTGCTCTCTTTTTATATACGGGTGGGATTCTCCCGATTCAGACAAACCCCTTGTTCCGACGATCAGCTGGACCGGTTCACTCATCGAACCAGTTGTTATACCGGTTGAATCGCACCCCTGGTGGAGACTGAGGGAGAGGAGAACAGCCAACAGGGAGTGGAAGTGTGGCTCCGGAGGTTGTGGAGGAGGCTGGGGAAGGGTAGAGGCTGGCTGGGCAGTTAGAGGAGGACCCAGGCCCATCCCCTCTCCACCCTAGGACACGCAGGGAAGAGAGGATAAGGGAGAGACGTGGTCTACGGGGGAGGAGAGGGCCTTGATCCTTTTCATGGGCTGCAGCTGTGACAACTGGATAAGAGGACGGACATGCGTACAGGCAAGTGCTGGAAACAAAGCATGGAAATATCTCTAGTTTATTGTTCCTCTCCGAGTTTGGCGTCCCTCCCAGTGTGTGTTCTGATGTCTGTGGACGTCTTCAAGCCCTTATCTTGCCTGGTTTGTGTTGTTTTTTACTCTATATAATTTAAACAGCATTTCCTCCTTCTTGTAACTGCGTGTGTGGGAGTTTTTTTGTCTCCAGTCAAGGATATTTGGAGCTTGGAAGCAAAGTGGAGGAATAAAAGGGGCTTCACCTGTTTTTTGTGACTCTGGTTATTTTGTATCTCACCCTCGGTCATCACACCTGGGTGGTTTGTGGCTTTCCCTGTCAGTGTTGAAGGAGTGTTCACCAGGAACCACCAGAAACATTGCCATTAACAATTACAGGGCAAGTTGCTAGTATACAAACAGAGAGCAAACCCCACACCCCTCTAGCTCTGATGTTACCTAGTTTGAGTAGTAAAATGTCTGCAAGGAAACAACCCAGCTCAGAAAGTACCAAGGACTCCTCATGGCAATCTCTCTTTCTTACGATGTCCTCTTGACACTACCATCATCTGATCCTCAGCCCAAATTTGTGGGAGTCTTAAAACCGTACTTTGCTGTACCTACAGTATACTGAAGTAGTGTTTTCCATCTTATCCCAATGCAGGTTTTTCAACCTAACCATTCTCTTGGTGGCACAACCGTAGAAGGTGGGATCATTTCCCCATCTGTTAGAACTTTAGCTTGTGGTGGACATGCCATTCTCCTCCAGTCCTGGGCAATGTTTTCAAGGCCATTCTAGTTTGGGTGGTAGGAGATCTGTTTTTTCCAAACCAAGCTCTTCCCTTGTAGACTCCAGGCCCAGCCCAGCTAGACATAAAAATGTAAAAGAAGGAGAGGGAACTTCTGCAAGACCAGGATTCTACACTGTTTTGAAGAAGAACATCTTACCTGAGATGCCTTTAAGGTCTTGGATGCTGACTATATTGGAACAGACATGTTGGTGCCTATAAATGGATTCTGACAATAGGAAATGCAAGTTGTGCAGAGGTCTGGTAGAAATCAAGGGAAGCATCCCATCCTGGTGTGGAATTTGCACCGAGATGTGGATTCTGGAACGACACAGTAAGGCAGAAATTGGACAGTTACGTTGGATAAGCTCCACACTAAAAGAATATTGAGATATACATATTAAACTCTAATCAATAAGCCAGCTGGTTTGTTTGTTTTTTTGGTGCTGTTCAAAAGGCAACTTTTGAAATGGGCTTTCTTGTTTTGTTTTGTTTTCCCTTGAAGACATTTCGCTTCTCATCCAGGAAGCTTCTTCAATTCTGGCTGAATGGTGGGGGATGGAAGGATTTATATTCCTTGCAGTCATTAGCACTCTGAAGGTTGGTGGTTACATGTAGCTCTCTTGGGAGTTTAACAGAGTGCCAATGGGTATGGAGCCTTCTTGGTACTACTAAAAGGATTGTGTTATAGACAGGAGGTAGGTGGTCTCGTATACAGGTACTCCTCAATTTACGACCACACTGGAGCCCCAAATTTATGTTGCTGAGTGAGAAATTTATTAAGTGACTTTTGCCCCATTTTATGACTTTTCTTCACTTAACATTTGTTTTAAGTGAATCATTGCAGTTGTTAAATTAGTAACACCATTGTTAAGTGAATCTGGGCTTCCCCATTGACTTTGCTTGCCAAAAGGTCGCAAAAGGGGATCATGTGACTTCAGGGATACTGCAACCATCATAAATGTGAATCAGTTGTCAAGCATCTGAATGTAAATCACGTGACCACATACAGATACAGATAATCAGAGTTGGAAGGGATCTTATAGGCCATCTAGTCCAACCCCCCGCCCAAGTGGAAGACCCTACACCATTTCTGACAGATGGGAGTCCAATCACTTCTTGAAAATCTCAAGTGATGACGCTTCCACAATTTCCGAGGGCAACTTCTGTTCCATGGGTTGATTGTTCTCACTGTCAGAAAGTTTCTCCTTATTTCCAGGTTGAATCTCTCCTTGTTCAGTTTCCATCCATGATTCCTTGTCTGGCCTACAGGTGCTTTAGAAAATAGCTTGACCCCCTCCTCCTCTCTGTGGCAGCACCTCAAATATTGGAGCACTGCCATCCTGTCCCCCCTGGTCCTTCCCTCCACTAGACTAGCCAGGCCCAGTTCCTCCCACCGTCCTTCATATCTTTTAGCCTCCAGTCTCCTAATCATCTTGTTTGCTCTTCTCTGCATTCTTTCCAGAGTCTCAACATCTTTTTTTATAGTGTGGTGACCAAAACTAGATGCAGTATTCTAAGTGTGGTCTTACTAAGGCTTTATAGAGTGGTATTAGTACCTCACTTGATCTTGTGTGTGCGTGCACCAAATGCACACTTTGCGCAGGCGCAGAGGCTTTCTGACTGACCTCCTGCAATCCTGCACTCTCCCTGTCGCTTCAGCAGCTGCCGCGCAGCAATTTGCTGTGCCGCGCAAAGCAGCTGCGCTTCAAAAGCGTTACATAAAGGTTAGTATGGGAGCCCAGGCGGGTGGGTAGGCCCAACAGCAGAGTGTTGGAGAGAACTGGTTAGGTCTCCGCTGCTCATCGGTGCTACCGGCTCGGCCAAACCGGTGAAATGCCACCACTGATTTGAAGTTACAACGGCACTGAAACAATAGACTTACAACCAGGCCTTTAACTTCAAGGGTGGGATTCTGCCAATTCGGACTGGTTCAGGCGAACCGGTAGTTTCGGTGATTATTTGGCCCTGCCTGCCCACCCCTGACCTACTCGTCCTTTATTTCCATGTTTTACAGCTCAGCAAAACGCCTCAGCTGTTTTACTCTCCGGGGCTGCAGTAGAAGGTAAGTATTAAGAGCTGAAAAGCCGAGTTTTCAAATGCTGCGCGTGCACACGAAGCACAGGTTCACCGAAGCGGTTGTTACACCGGTTGAATTTCCACTCGTTTAACTTACAACCGTTGGCCTACATTTTGCTTAGCCACGGAAGTTCTAGCCCCGACTATGGTTCTAAGTCAAGCACCCATAAGGAAGGCCTGTGTAAACTTTTGTCAAAACAAGGACCTTCAATTCTTGTAACTGTTATATCATAACAGCTCCCACTTATAAACCAAAGTTTATTCTTGGCTTGCGATCCTGGCTTGTTAGAGAAAAATCTAAGTAAGGAACTTGGTCTGAATAAAATGTTAAAGGAACCACAAATAGAGGCTTCTCTTAGCCCCGTTGAGTCTGCTACTACTGAACAAATAAAGTTATGCAGGATAAGGGAGCTAACCAAGACTTCGTCACTGAAAAACCATTTTTTACGAGAACAGGAGCTCTGCGTGTCTTGCTTTTTACCTGTTAGGATGTTCCTTATGTTTTACATCCAAGTATTTCAAGGTGGCAATGAAAGATTGAGCTTGGAAACCCCGGGCTGTGCCAGCCACCACAGGGGTATGGCAGATGGCGCTGTCGGTCCCAATGGTGGCTATATTACTCCGTAGGGGAGTGCCCACGTGGCCGACTTTATCCACAGCTTTTGTCACGCAGCGTACGTGGAATCTCCGGCTGAAGTAAATGCTGTCCAGCACCTGAGAGGAGGGGGAGGAGGAGGAGGAAGAAGAAGAGAGAGGAGAAGGAAGAGGGAGGATGCTGAATGGGTCTGAACATCAGTTAGGTAAGAGCCCTCAGGAGTCTTTCCTGTTATGATGATCATACATTGGCTTTTCTTTTGCTGACATTAAATGAATCACGGCCTCCAACCTTTTTTTTTTTTTTTTTTGCCGAGGTCATTAAATGAATCACCGCAGTCATTCAGCAAACCCAGCTTTCCCCCATTGGCTTTGCTTGTCAGAAGCCAGCTGGGAAGACCACAAATGGTGAAGTCACCCTGGGATGTTGTATAATATCTACCTAATACTCCTTCTTCTTATTTCCCCCCCCTCCAACAACAAACCTGTGAGGTGGGCTGGGTTGAGAGAGCGTGACTGGCCTAAGGTCACCCAGCCGGCTTTCATGCCTAAGGCAGGACTAGAACTCACTGTCTCCTGGTGATTGGCTCAAAGTCACCCACCTGTCTTTCAGGCCTAAGGCGGGATTAGAACCCA